AAGGGGCTGGGACCAAAAACAAAGTGAGCAGTCCCCTCTCGTGACCTGGCTCCTGGCTCTCTTGTGGCTCTTCTTGCCCCTGACATGACTGGGCCGTACTAGTGCAGGCTCTCTGGACCCCACTGGCCAGGGTCTGAGGGCCTCCTGCCGGGCTAGGACAAGAAGGGGCTGTGCAGGGAGCCAGGCCCCCTGGATCCACCTTGGACACCTGGATCCCCCGTGCCCTGAGCCTCTCAGCAGCCCTTGCCCAAGCACGTCCTGGGTAGCAGGCCTGAGACAACCCTCTTGGGAGCAGATGGCTGCAGCACACCAGCATGGATTTCTTCTGTCCCAGCACCTGCTGCACGGAGCCTATGGAAAGTGCCGCTGATCAGGGAGAGAAAGGTCCTCTCAGCATAAGCCGCTCAGAGAGAAGCACAAGGAAGGGGCCAGCTAGGCTGGGAGCACTGTCTGTGACGCTCCCCCGAATGGACAACCACAGGGCCTCTGCTCTCCCTGACTGCCTCCTCCTGCCCCACAGGATCCAAAGTTGGGGAGTCAAGGGCCAGGAGGCTGAGAGGTACCTGAGGAGGAGGGTCCTGGGGAAAGGTTTATCCTCAGCTGTGAGAGGAGCTTACACGTGGGCAGAGGGGCCAGGAAGAGCTCTATGCCTGGGGTGGGGCTGGGGGACAGAAGAAAGGCTTCTTCTGGGGTCTCCCTATAGGTGGGGGCTGCCCTCTGTCCTGGGAGGCCAGCCCACTTGCCTGCACTCACGAGTCTGTTGTTCCTACATTATTTCAATTATTTACATATGGAAGGCCCTTAGCAGCTTCCAAAACATCTTCCCGGATGGTGGCTCATTCAGTTCCCACAACAGCAGGGTGAGGTGGCGCTGCCTGGGCCCCTTCCCCAGCAAGGCGGCTGAGGCAGGGTGACATGATTCACCACTCCTGCCACCCACACAGAGGGGCCACCCCTCCTCGCACGCCAGGAGGGGAAGGCACCCGTGTGCACCCTGCTGCTGGCGGGTGAGCAGTTTCTATTTTCCTTGGCTGACGAGCCTCCTCCCTGCTGGTGCCTGTCACTGCCCCAACTCGGGACCCAGAAGGGGACTTCCTCCACCCTCTATAGGGTGGGGTGCGGGTGAGCCCCGCCTGGCCTCTGCTTAGGGCTTCTGGGCTGCCCAACACTGCCTGGCCCTGTGGTCCCTGACCCATGTGGCCACCTGCTCACCCACTGTCTACTCCATGCCAGGGCCAAGATCCCTGTAAGCCCCTTCTTCCTCTGCTACTGACCTATGCTCAGGCCCCAAGGGCTCCTTGGGGAGGTGGGACATGACTGAGGAGAAGCCCAGTGGCTCCTCTGTGACCTGTTCCTTCCCTGGGAACCGTGGCTGTGCATTGGTCCTGTCCATGGCCCCACTTGCTTAGTGTGGCTCTGGAAGGGGCTACCCCTGTGTTCGGGCATGGGGGTGTTCCTGGGGGGATTGTGGCTGACCTGAGGGCAGGCGGGCTCTGCTGAGGGTGGGGGAAGGCAGCATGGCTCTGGGCTACCTGTACAGGACACGTCTTCTTCCTCTCCAGCCTCTTGCTTAGGATTCACCCAGTGTGACTCACTTTCCCTCTCTGGGCCTCAGTTTCCGTATCTGTAAAGAAGGGCTGATGACAATCCCTGGGGCGAGGACGGAGGGAGACATCCAAGAGGGTGGAGCATTCCTGGAGGCAGCTGGGTGACAGCAGCTCCAATGGGACAGCAAGTCCCCGAGGGCTTCACAGTGCTGTGGGGCACCCAAGAGGGAGACACCAGGCTCCGTCAGGGTGATGGGGACGCTTCCTAGAGGAGGCAGCATTGGTGCTGGCCCCAGAGAGGCAGGCATGAGGGCATTCTGAGTCCACGAGAGGGGCATTGCAGACAGAGTGGCTGCTGTGAGCACGGTGGTGTGGGGGCAGGGCACAGTGTGGTGAGAAGATCTAAGCTGGGCTTTGCTGAAGAACATGAACCAAAAAAGAGGAAGAAAGGATGGGGCCTTGACTCCCTGCTGAAAGGTGTGGCTGCTTTGCAGAGACAACGGCAGGGACCTGGGACTTGGTTAGATTTCCCTCGGGGAAGAAGGACTTGGGCTGTGATGGGAGAGAGTGGACAGAGGGGGCTGGGAGACTCGGAGGCAGGTGCTCAGAACCTGGTGAGGGTTGGGGGTGGCTGTTATCATAGTCGGGTTAGGAGACAACAGGGCCTGGCTGATTCTGAAACCAGCTGGTTGGTTTAGGAAACCTCTGCTGCGACCTCACATTGGCCCCAAACCAGTGTGTCACACTGCTTGGAGTAACCCTAACATGGAGTAACCCCAACATGGGCTCCGGTGTGGGCACATGACATGCCGGGTCTCTGATCCTGTCACACTGTGGAGTTAACCACCTCTCTGCTTCTCTGGTTTAAAAAGCAGTGCTTATTTGTTTTTCTCATACTTTATGTCATCATTCCAAACAAATTTTGGAGAATCAGAAAAAGGGGAAAATGTGTTTGAAGTGGGCTCATCTCTCAGCCAAGGTGGAGGGGGCTCCCCAGCCCCTGGAAGATCGCGAACCCATCTGGGGTTCTAGCTCATCTAATCTGTAGCCCATCTAATATATAGCCACATGTGAGGTCCCATGCCCTGGGTCCTGGGCAGACACGCATTCCTGTTCTGTTTCCATTGGGTGGGGGTAGGGGACTGCTGGGCTCCAACCAAGATCAGATGCTGCCAGGGGTATGGGTGGCAGGTACAGGCATGGGCATGTCAGGCCTCCCCTTCCTTGGAGGACCTTACTGCTATCGGAGAGGTAGGACCAATGTGCAGAGCCCAGGGGAATACAGCCCTGTGCGTTAATGAGGAAAGGATGGGCTGGGGGAATAGCAAGTAATTCCTGTCTCTCAAAGTGATGTGAAACTGATGAGAGGCGTGATTTAGCGTAGCCAGCTCATGGTAGGTTCACAATAATTGGAAGTTACTGGAAAACATTGCCAAGTAGTTCTTATTTTTAGCCAGAAGGAGACAACATCCAGGTGCCTGGTGCTGCTGGAATGGAGCTGAGGAAACCCTCTGGGTCTCAAGCCTCGGGAAGCTGCAGCCAGGCCCCTGGCTACTCTGGTCTCCAGGACCTGGGGAGTACAGACAGCTTCTGGGGGCTCACTGGCTGGGGCCATTAGCAACTGGACATTCTGGGCTGGGGTCTGAGGCTGGGTAGAGGGGCCTGGTGGTCAGAGAAGGGTAGAGGGAGGTGAAATTCTGGTGTATGTGGAAGCCACCAACAATCCTGTTGTACCCGATGAGCAACTTGTGTTGAGGTGGTGTGGCCATTCCCCTGCCTCAAGGAGGGGCTTCAGTCCCCAGAGGGAGAAGTCTTCCGCTCTGGGCGCCTTCCCTGGGGGGCATGGGAAGCTCCCCTGCATTCTGACTTTGGGCCTTTATCACCTGGGTTTCTCTGGTCCAGCAGGCCTGGCCACGGCAAGGCTGGGCCTGTGCAGGCCCGACTACAGACCTAGTGTTCAGGAGCGGCCGCAGAGTGCCTCCTCTGGCCTCCAGAAGGAGAGACAGACTTGCCTGAGCCCGGAATGGAGGAGAAGCAGGGAGGGTTGGGGTGGGACACAGAAGGGTCCACAGGAGAGGCGGCTCCAGCCATCCAGGGTCAGAGAACAGCAAGAGTGGAGCTATGGAAGTTGGGATTTCAGAGTGAATGGAGGTCGCGGTGAGTCCTCTAAGCCAAGCTCATGAGTGGGGGATTGGGCTGTCACCACCGTGGTCTCTGAGCAGGGAGAGGCAGGCTCTATACTAGTTCGTCTTGGACTGCCTCAGTCCTTCAAGTTCACACAAGGGGCAGGAGTCCTGGGAGAGCCTTGCTGGGTATCCCCTGAGCCTGGGCAGGGTGGGCCAGGACCAGCGTCCCTGCCTCAGCCACTGCTCAGCTCCCCTTTCTTGGCCTCCTGTGGCTGAAGGGGATATTTACTGAGGGTAGGGAGGCGGCCTGAAGATGGGGGAGCAGTGAGGGGTTGGGGAGGAGGAGAACAAAGTGACAGTGGGTAGAGGGACTGGAGAGAGAAGGGAAGAGGGCAGGTGGCCCCCCAGCTGCAGGCCTTCCCTGCTGCCACACAGGGCGCCTCCCTGGGCACTGCCCTCCTGCTCTTCTCCAGGTTCTTCCCTCAGGGTCTGGGTAAGGGCAGCATACTCTCCAGGCCATCCTGTGTCCCTCGTGCCTCTCCCTCGCCCTCAGCACCCAGGCCAGCAGAAAGGAGCCTCCTGGCGTGGGGGTTCTAGCCTAGTGACTGCTGTCTTTGGGGCTGCACCCTGGGGCTTTCACTCCACCCTTCTCCTGGGTGATCTCGCAGCCCCAGCTGGGCAGCCCAGTGTTGGCAAAGCACCAGGTGTGTCTGACCCCTGCAAGCTCCAGGAAGCTGGACTAGGTCACTACTGCCCCTGCCAGGCCCAGCCTAAGAGGCCATTGGTGGCCACTGGGAGTGGCTCCTCCAGAGCCTTTCCTCTCTCAGACTAAACCTGAGTCCTGCCTCTGCTCCTGGGGAAACTGAGGCAGGCACTCTTTGCCCAGGCCCTGCTGTGGGTGAGTCAAGCTGTGGATAGGGCCACACACCTCTGGCCAGCAGCTACACCCCTGAAGGAAGCAGGGGACATCTGGGTTGCAACACTCAAATGCGAGATTCATTATAGTCACAAATGTGTGTTGTGTGTGTTCTGGGGTGTGCATGTGTGTGGCAGGTGTGCGGTCATCCGGTGTCTGTGTGAGAGGAGAGGGCTGAGGCCAGGGCCCCAGAAATGGCCCTGCTTGAACGCCCCCACAGTCCAGGAAGCTGCTTCCTTCCGGGTGGTGCTGGCCAGATAGGGAAGGGGCCATTTACCTGCGCTGTCTGAGAAGTGGATGCAGGTCTCGTACCAGGCAGGGCTGTGTCCATGTGAAATGTGGGCAGGGCGCTGGTGGGTGGCAGTTGGTCTCAGGGCTGGTGGTTAGGAGCGCAGTTTCATGGGCTCCAGAGGGGGAGCTGAGTCATGTGAGCCAGGGGTGGGCCCACCCATGGATCTGGGGCCTGGCTCCTGGGGCCACTGGGACCATGGCAGGACTAATCATGGAGGGTTCTGTGGGCTGTTCTGGGCCTAGGGAGGCCATATCACCATGGGTGTGTCCACGTGTCCAACGGTAATGGAGAGGATGTTTAGGCTTGACTGTAGCACCGTGCACATGAGGACAGGTGTGGGAGTGTGGCTATGTAATTGCAGGGTGTGTGTGTGTATGAGTCTGTGTGCACATAACACATGTATGTGTGTGCGTGCACACATGACCTTCTCTGGGTGTCTGGGCGGCTCCATGAGCAGTGATGGCCTCAGCTTTTCCAGGCACTTTCATTCTTGAGGAAGCATCATTGGATTTGGGCCCTGATCCTCCCTGATCCTCTGGAGTCTCTTCCTGTCCGGTGTCACCCCAGCCATCTGTGCTCTAAACCTGAGCCTCAGCCCTCCATGCCCCTTGTCCTCCCCCACCTCCTGCAGCTCCCCAGTTCTCTCTGTGGAGCTGTGGAGGGGGGCAACCTCCCTTCTCTGGCCTTCGCCCTATGTCGAGTCAATTCTCCTCTTCCAGATGATAGAATTGGGCAGCAGCTGGCATTCCTCAGCTGCTCCCTGTCCCCATCTCAGGGAGGAGGATCCCTGGCAGGGCCTAGGGTGACAGGGGAGAGGAGGGAACCTTGTCTTTCCTTAGGAACCTGTGTTCACCACTTGCTCAGCCCAGACCTGTGAGCTGCCTCCGCTCCTCTCTTTCTCACTGTCCACCTCATCCCATCTGCCCACAATTCCTGCCAGCCCTGCCCCTGCTGATCCTGGAGCGTCCTTCCTTTTCATTGCCAGTCAGGGTCCAGTCAATCCCGTCTCCTGAATCACTGCATCAGCTCCTGACCTCTCCCCACGGCCATTCCTGTTCCCATAGTCCACTCTCCACTCACAGGTTCCCTCCCCACTCACAGGTTCCCTTCCCCAGCCCACCCCCAGTCAGGACTTTCCAGCAGTTCCCATTGTCCTTTTAAGGAACTCAGACCCTGATCAGTGCTCCGGGCCCAACCAGAGCTCCTGCTGCAAGGCCTTTGTCCCTGCTGTTCTGCCTCTTGGCTGCTCTTCCTGGCCCCAGCCCTGGCAGGTTCCTTGCCATCCCTGGAGTTGCAGCGGAAAGCTGTCTCCTCCCAGAGCCCTCTCTGGTGCCCCCTCCCCTGCTCCATCTTACCCCCCTCTGTGGCATCATTCATAGCACCTCCCAGTGTCTGCTGTGGTCTCATTCATTTACTACTCCACAGGTCTCTGACCCTGCATTGGAAGACGAACCCCGGAAGCCAGGAACCTTGTGTGTCTTGTTCTCGGCTGCATCCCTAACACCCTGAAAGCAGCTTGGCACTCAGTAAACACTGGTGAGTGAATGAGTGCTGGGACCCGCAGGAAGCCTGAAGCTCACAGCTGTACGTCACAGAGCTTGCCCTTGAACCCAGGACATCCAGTGGGTTGCAACAGTGGACTTTTTTTTTTTTTTTTTTTTTTTTGAGACAGAGTCTCGGAGTCTTACTCTGCGGCCCAGGCTGGAGTGAGGTAGTGCAATCTCAGCTCACTGCAACCTCCTTTTCCCAGGATCAAGTGATTCATGTGCTTTGGCCTCCTGAGTAGCTGAGACTACAGGTATGCGGCACCACTTTGGACTAACTTGTATTTTTAGTGGAGATGGGGTTTTGCCATATTGGCCAAGCTGGTCTGGAATTCCTGGCTTCAAGTGACCCACCCAACTTGGCCTTCCAAAGTGCTAGGATTACAGGCATGAGGTACCATGCCCAGCTTCACAGTGGGCTCTTTTACTGACATGCCTGGGACATCTGCTCTTGGGAACCATCTGCTGCTCTGGGCACCTGAGGACACCTCTTTTTCTCTGGAGCTTGAGGCATGGTGGGGGATGAGGGCCTAGGCTGATGATGACTTCCGACCCACACTGTGGATTTCAACTTCCCGTGGAATCAGCTTCCTGTCAAGGGCTACCTGGGGGCACAGGGGCAAGTCCTTACAGAAATGCCTGCAGAAATGCATCAAGCCCCATTCAGGGCTGGGCACTGTGCTTCCCAGTGGATTCAGAGGGGCAGTGCCCTGGGCACTGTGCATCCTTAAGAGGTTTGCAGCAGAGCTGGGGAGGTGGCACTAATGCCCTGAAGGTCTTCCAAGATAGCAGCAGAGAGAAAGGAGGGCTGTGGTCAAGGGTGGGAGGCAGATGGAAAGGGCCTGGAGGACAGGGACATGGATTCTGGGGACAGTCATGAGGGGATACAAAACTGAATTTCAGCCTTGGCTCTGAGAGCTTGGGCAAGCTCCTTAATCTCTCTGAGCCATGGCTCCCCCATTTGTATTTGGGGCTCTTCAAGGTTTAAATGAGAATGATTTCTGTTAAGGTCTTGGGACAAGTCAGGGCACATGGCAAGCACACAATCAGTGACAGCTGTGGTTGTTCCAAGAAGCAAGAGACTCAGGCTGGAGGTGTATGCTGGGGAAAGGGGTGGATGAAGGATACCCTGCAGTCAGACCCATCTGGACCTTGCCCAAGGGCAGGGCAGGGCAGCCCAGTGGTTAAGCCCAGGTTTCAATCCCAGTTCTTCATTTGCATGTGGACTGTGTGGCCTTGGTTCTGCCCCCCAACACCTTTGGGCCTCGGTTTCCCTATCTGCAGAGCAGGGTAATGAGGCAGCCCTCCAGGGTGTGAGGCTAGATGCAGTGATGCTTCCAAGGCACCCAGCATAGTGCCGGTGATTGCGTTTTTAATGAGGACATAGACCAAGACCACACTGTGGAGAAGCAGCCCAGTTGTGTCTGACCAAGGCAATGTGGCTTCAGAACCCCTACAGCTAACTGATGCCCAGAGCTGCCCCTGCTGCCGCTGCTGCTGTGCTGCTATTGCTGGTCTTTTTTTTTTTTTTTAATTTTTTTCCTTTTAGGTTTTGGGGTACATGTGAAGAACATGCAAGATTGTTGCATAGGCACACACGTGGCAGTGTGATCTGCTGCCTTCCTCCCCATTACCCACATCTAGCACTTCTCCCTGTGCTATCTCTCCCCAGCTCCCCTCCCACCGCTGTCCCTCCCCTATTTCCCCCCCAACAGACCCCAGTGTGTAGTGCTCCCCTCCCTGTGTCCATGTGTTCTCATTGTTCAACACCCACCTATGAGTGAGAACATGCGGTGTTTGATTTTCCGCTCTTGTGTCAGTTTGCTGAGAATGATGGTTTCCAGGTTCATCCATGTCCCTACAAAGGACACGAACCCATCATTTTTTATGGCTACATAATATTCCATGGTGTATATGTGCCACATTTTCCCTGTCCAGTCTATCATCGATGGACATTTGGGTTGCTTCCAGGTCTTTGCTATTGTAAACAGTGCTACAATGAACATTCATGTACACGTGTCCTTATAGAAGAACGATTTATAATCCTTTGGATATATACCCAGTAATGGGATTGCTGGGTCAAATGGAATTTCTATTTCTAGGTCCTTGAGGAATCGCCACACTGTCTTCCACAATGGTTGAACTAATTTACACTCCCATCAACAGTGTAAAAGTGTTCCTATTTCTCCACATCCTCTCCAGCATCTGTTGTTTCCAGATTTTTTAATGATCGCCATTCCAACTGGCTTGAGATGGTATCTCAATGTAGTTTTGATTTGCATTTCTCTGATGACCAGTGATGAGGAGCATTTTTTCATATGTTTGTTGGCCTCATGTATGTCTTCTTTTGTAAAGTATCAGTTCATATCCTTTGCCTACTTTTGAATGGGCTTGTTTTTTTCTTGTAAATCTGTTTTAGTTCTTTGTAAATTCTGGATATCAGCCCTTTGTCAGATGGGTAAACTGCAAAAAATTTTTCCCATTCTGTTGGTTGCCGATTCACTCTAATGACTGTTTCTTTTGCTGTGCAGAAGCTGTGGAGTTTGATTAGGTCCCATTTGTCTATTTTGGCTTTTGTTGCCAATGCTTTTGGTGTTTTGGCCATGAAGTCCTTGCCTACGCCTATGTCCTGAATGGTTTTGCCTAGATATTGCTGGTCTTTAGAGGTGGCAGACAGCCTGGCTTAGTCTTTGATGGTAATAAAGGTGTCAGCACTGGTGAGGTGGGAAGGGGGTCCCTTTGTCACCACCACCCCCACAGTGCACCCAGCTCTGGTCACAGGGGAGCCCCAGGAGGCCTCTTGTCACAGAGCCACTTGCCCAGTGCCCACAGTGCGATCACATTTTTGAGACTCCCTCATTTCTTGCTCAACTCTTACCACCGGCCACAGCTCTTCCTTAGCAACCTCCTCTTCCCTCCTTAGATACCTGGGCCTAAGGCACAGGGCCTCTGGCTAGCAGGGTGGGAATCAGTTTCACTACTGGGACCCCAGTGGGTTGGGGGCCACAGGTATGCTGGTGGTGGGTGCCCAGGGAAAAGCCCAGAGGGGGGTCCCCTCCACCCCCAGGCCCAGGCCCATCTGGGAGCACAGCCAAATGCAGTTGCTTTGGTGGATAACCCCACAGGCAAGTGGGCTCTGGCCTTGGCAATGGAACTGGTTTTCCCACAATCCCTTCCTCAGACTGTGACCTCCTCTCTTTATTGGAAATCATGGCAGAAGGGGGAACCAGATTCCACAGCACTGCACCTCCTGAAGTTGGTAGGGGCCATAGGATCCCTTCCTGGACAACAAGGCCTGACTCTGGCATCTCCTGCTGGCACCGCACTTTGTTTTTTCGAGATGCAGTTTTGCTCTGTTGCCCAGGCTGGAGTGCAGTGGCATGATCTCGGCTCGCTGCAACCTCCACTTCCCGTGTTCAAGTGATTCTCCTGCCTCAGCCTCCTGAGTAGCTGGGATTACAGGCACCTGCTACCATGCCTGGCTAATTTTTTGTATTTTTAGTAGAGACGAGGTTTCATCATGTTGCCCAGGCTGGTCTTGAACTCCTGACCTCAAGTGATCCACCCGCCTTAGCCACCCAAAGTGCAGGGATTACAGGCGTAAGCCACTGTGCCTGGTCATGCACTGCACTTTTTAAGATGCTCCCAATAGTCTTTCTTAAGTCAACTCAGTTTTTACAAACCTAAAATTTACTTCAAAAGGAAAAGATATCATTACTCTAGGTGGATAATTAGTATCATTTACCATGAACACAACATAAATCATAAAAATAAATATTATTGAAGCAATTAGGTCAGCTCCTTGAGGGCAGTGGTTTGGGATTTACTGCTGCATCCCCAGCACATAGAACAGTACCTGGCACATAATAAGTTCTTGAAATGTATTTCTGAATGAAGAGTTGAGTAGGCAATAAATGCAAAGGGATGGGTAACCTACATAGGGGTATTTGGGGAGGGCGCTCAGCCTGTTTGTTGAAATGAGGAAAGGCAGGTGTTAGGGGCTAAAGCCATGCCAGCCCCATGTGGAGACTTTCTTCTTGATGTACTCAGAAGGACTGATTGACTTGAGAAAGGCAGAATGTCCTCTGAGCATGGCTGGGGACTCCTCAATGCCAGTCTGGATGCAGCCTCGAGGTGTCTGAGCACTGGAGTATCCTCCTGGGGGGTGCATGCCAGGGGACCCGAAACTCAGGGTGGCACCGGGGTGAGAGGTAGGGCCAGGATCGGAGTGTGTCAGGGGCCCCCTAAGGAGGCCCCACTGTGCCCAGGAGAGCTTCCCCAGTAGCACTGCTCCTGGGTTCCTGCTCACACACATGCATGAGACATGGCACATGACAGAGTGTGGGAACAGACCCCAGGCCTTTAGGCTACAGGCTTCACTTCACCTTGGCCAGGAGGAGGCTTTGCTGAGTGCTGGGTGCCCAGGTGAATCCCCTGCCCCCACCCTGCACTGTGCTGGGTGCGCCTTCCTCACAGAGGGGCTGTCCCTGGAGCCCGGTGCGTGGGGTCTGGGTCTGCACCTGGCAGGAGCCTGTGGGAGTGGCCGCCACATCCGCGTGTTCGTCAGAGGCCTGGCACAGGAAACGCGACGTCATCTCTGACTCACCCCTCGGCGGGGCTTGGGGTGGCCCGTGACTCTCACCTTCATCCATACTCTGGCCCAAGCACTGTAGCCAAGCCACTCATTCCCCGGCCCCTGTGGGGCATCTGCTTGGGGGTGGGGGCTGGAAGGAGGAAGAAAGGCTCTACAGCACCAGTGCGGAGCTGAGCGAGGCGGCTGTGGGAGGGAGACCCGCTGTGCAGGGGGCTGGGCGGAGGTGCTGCTGGGGCTGGGAAAGACCCGGAATCCCGAAGGCAGGAGCCAGTCACGCTTAAACAGCCGTCAAAATAGATGGTCATAAAAAGAATAACATGCAGAATCATTATTTGTTCCCGGTGAGTCTCACAGGTTTTCAATTAAAAAAAAAATGCTGAGCCCAAACTTACTTGATAGTGTCTGCTCTGTAACAGCCAGGCCGAGAAAAACACAAACAAAAACAGAGAGAGCTCTGAACAGGCACCCCCAGCCGGGGTCAGCCCCTTCCCATCTAGTGGCAAGGACTGGGTCCTGTTTCCAGAGCCTTCAGGCTGCTGAGCATCTGCCTAGCAGAGACCCCTCCTCATTGCATTCTCCACTCCTACACCCAATGCCCTGCCTCCTCTCTGCTGCCATTCCCAAGACTGGGCTCTGGTGATTGGGGATTGGGGAGACTCTCAGGGGTGACAGAGAGGAGCAGGCGTCCCGCACCATGATAACCAGTGGCAGCACCTAAGGCTTGGGGGGCTTTTGTCAGAGCAAAATTGGGAGAGAGGCATGGGTTTGTGTCTCTCCCCTTTCTTACTCAGCCCTAGGCTTTCACCTAGTAATTGGGGGTGGGACTTTCCCCAGTTTGGGAGTAGGGAAAGAAGGTAAAGGGAATCCCTGCCTTCATAGCTAAGCTGGGCCTCTGTGAGCCCATGTTCCAGAGCTTAAAAGGGGACAGCCCCAAGGCAAATGGCCTCAATGGGGTGACATGTGTGGAGCCACTTTAGGTCCTGAGTCGGGTGGTGGCATATGCCTGTAGTCCCAGCTACTCTGGAGGCTGAGGCAGGAGGATCACTTGAGCTCAGGAGTTTGAGGCCAGTGTGGGCTACATAACAAGATCCTGTCACTTAAAAAGAAGAAAAACAGAAACCACTGGTTGTGGCCAAGAGTGCCAGGTCCCAGGGACCGTGCCATCAGTGCAAACCTTCAGCAATGCTCTCCCCCAGTGCAGAACTCACCGGCAAGGTATACCGGTTTCTCCAGAAGGAAGGGAAGAGGCCCAGCCTAGCATGGGGTTTGGGGACTGGAGCCCCTTACAAGGCTGAGCTGAGTTCTCCTGAATCAGGAATCACACCTGGCTGGGGTTCTCCCACGGAGCTGGAAGGCTGTGGCTCCCAGCTCAGCAGCAAGACTAGATCTGACTGTCCGTCTGCACACTCTGTAATTTGCCCCTGGAATCAGCATTAAGTCATTTGGAGGCTGATGCCAAAGATAAGAGCTCATATCAGCCTCTGGGATCTGTGGCCCAGACTCCCTGGCTCTGTTGTGGGCTTTGCTGCCTCATCCTCGACTGGCCTGCGAGGCAGGGCAGGGCCTCAGCCGAGTTGCCCAGACAGTGGCATAGCCTTGGAGCCTTGAAGCCAGTGTGGACAGGCGCTCCTCCATGATGTGCTCCCCCTTACAGATGGGGACACTGAGAGGGCGACATGGCCCCAGGGATCTTTGGAGTCCTCGGGGCTTTTCTCCTCAGCATCTGCTTTGATCCCAGCACATATAAGCTCCAGCTCCTTCTCACACGAAGTGGAACTGCACAGGTACCATGCTCCCGTGAACATAACCAGGCATATAGCACACTGCTGTGAGGAGCTCAGAGCCGACAAGTCCAGAAGGGCTGCGGGCTCTTCACAGGCCCCAGCTGTCACTCTCCAAGACGATCTGGACATAGAGGTCTTCGGGGAGCTGAAAGGGTCTTTCAAAGGGCACAGAGGAGGGCCTCAGGAGACTGGGGGCTGGGAGGGTGGATTCTGAAATCCCACACAGCTGGGGGCAGGGCGGGGGCAGCTCCAGCTCAGTGACACTGTCCCCACCCACCTGAACTTCTCTGCTTGAGTTTGGGAGTTCATTGCCAACAATTCTTGTGGCTCAGACCCCCCACGCACACCTGGGCCTCACCACATCTGGCAGCAGGGCTGGGGGAGGTCAGAATGGAGGGGATACCCAAGCCCCAGTCCTAGGGCTGCAGTGGTAGTCCTGGACTTTGCTGCCCAGAGGGGCTGGACAGGGAGGGCTAGGGTGGGGGAGGCCAGTTCTATTCTGCTTTTCCCTCTTCCCCTTGCCAAGGTCTTGAAATCCCCGCTAGTCTGGGGAGGGCTCAGAGCGTCAGTGGACTTCCCACGGCAGGCTTGTGGCAGGGGAAGTGCTTCTCTCCGGGGCCTGGGGGCTTTCCCTGGGCCCAGGAGGAAGAAACTTGGCCCCACTCATAACTGGAAACCGGTCACAGACCCCTGCTTTCCCCCTGAAATGTCCCCAGGACCTGCCTCATTTCCCTTTCTCCCAAGCCCAGGGGCCTGGGCCTCCAGGGACTGTGTTCTGGCCTAGCCTGGCTACCGACCTACTGCAAGAGTCTGGTGCTGGTCTCATTTGGGCAATGGGGGGCGGGGATGGGGAGGAGAGAGTCCCTCCGGCCCAAGGTCTCCAAATATGAGAAAAAGGACAGTGTAAAAATCACCTGTGGCAGCAGACATTTGTCAATACGGTGACAGGTTCCTAGGAGGGAAATTCTGGGAGGTAAAGGGAAAAGGCAGAGGGAGAACGGGATGGGGTGGTGGGGTACGCCAGGAGACATCTCTGGCCCGGAGGGGGGACTTGCTTCTGAGAAGCTGGGTTCCCAACGACTGAGTGGCTTGGGACAGGTCAAAGGGTGGGCACAAAGACACCCTTTGGAGGGGGTGCTGGTCCCTCCAAATACAGACAACACCTTCCCCTCCCTTAGTCGCTGGTCCCTGCCTCCTCCCTGTGTGTTGGTCCCGCGCCCCGCCTTCCCCCGGAGTCCCCGGGTCCGCCCTGCCTGCGCCCCACGTGAGGGGCGGGGGCGGGCGCCAGCGCCTTCCTGCTCTGCCCTTGTATGGTGCCCCGGAGGCCGGCCCACGGTACTTAACCCAGGCTGCTGCAGAGGGTGCCTGGAGCTGACCGACCGCTCCGGCAGCGCCACCGCCACGAGAGCTCGGGAAGCGGGGAAGAGTGGCAGGAAGAGGAAGAGGCACCGGTGGTCATGGGGCTGGAGGCGGCGCGCGAGCTTGAGTGCGAGGCGCTGGGTGCGCTGCTTCGAGAGCCGCGGGAGGCGGAGCGCACGCTGCTGCTGGACTGCCGGCCCTTCCTGGCCTTCTGCCGGCGCCACGTGCGCGCCGCGCGACCAGTGCCCTGGAATGCGCTGCTGCGGCGCCGCGCCCGCGGCCCTCCTGCCGCTGCCCTCTCCTGCCTGCTGCCCGACCGCGCGCTGCGAGCGCGCCTGGACCGTGGGGAGCTGGCGCGGGCCGTGGTGCTGGATGAGGGCAGCCCCTCGGTGGCGGAGCTCCGGCCCGACGGCCCGGCCCACGTGCTGCTAACCGCTCTGCTGCATGAGACCCGCGCGGGGCCCACGGCCGTGTGCTTCCTGCGAGGTGAGTGCGCCGACCACCCTCGGCCGCTGCATCCGACCCCGGGCAGGGCCTTCCCCGCTGACTGCGCCCTTCCCCTCCCTGCAGGAGGCTTCGACGGCTTCCAGGCCTGCTGTCCGGATCTGTGTTCAGAGGCCCCCGTTCCTGCGCAGCCGCCGGTAGGGGACGAAACCAGCCGCTCAAACCCCAAGGCTCCCTTCTACGACCAAGTGAGTGGAGATAAGAAGTTCTTGTCACTGCCCTCCGCTCCTCCCTACCTCCCTCCCCACTACAGGCTGGACGTGTGAGCAGTTTGCCCATATACACACCTTTATACTTGTGTGTGCGGGAGTGGGAGGGGGCCGATACTGCTGCTCGTGCGTGCCTGTGTGGGTCTATGTGTGTCTGCATGTGTATGTTGGGGGCATGAGGGGCCTGTGTGTCCCCGTGTGTCCTCCGCACATTCCTGAGTCCTGTCTCGGGTCAGGAGGACTGGCTGAGGATTCCTCTTGTCTTGGCCAGCCCATGGGGTCTCCACCTGCTGCTGCTCCAGCCTTCTGGGGCTGAGCTGAGAAGGCCTCACCACCCCTTTGCCCCCTCCAGGGTGGCCCTGTGGAGATCTTGCCTTACCTATTCCTGGGCAGCTGCAGCCACTCGTCAGACCTGCAGGGGCTGCAGGCTTGTGGCATCACAGCCGTCCTCAATGTGTCTGCCAGCTGCCCCAACCACTTTGAGGGCCTTTTCCGCTACAAGAGTATCCCTGTGGAGGACAACCACATGGTGGAGATCAGCGCCTGGTTCCAGGAGGCCATAGGTTTCATTGGTAAGGGGGCACCTCTGCCCAGAGATCCCGAGGGGCTCCAGGGGAGAGGAGTGAGGGCACCTATCTCCTGGCACATTCCTTTCTGACATCACTCCCCCGTCTCCCTTGCAGACTGGGTGAAGAACAGTGGAGGCCGGGTGCTGGTTCACTGCCAGGCGGGCATCTCACGCTCCGCCACCATCTGCCTGGCATACCTCATGCAGAGTCGCCGTGTGCGGCTAGACGAGGCCTTTGACTTTGTTAAGCGGCGCCGGGGTGTCATCTCCCCCAACTTTAGTTTCATGGGGCAGCTGCTGCAGTTTGAGACCCAGGTGCTGTGTCACTGAGGTGGCACCCCTCTGCCTGCCTGCCTGCCTTGCTGCTCTGGCTCTCCCTGGATCCTGGGGGAGCTGACTGTGGACTGGTGAGCTCCCCTCTGAGCCAGCACAGACCCCTCACCTCTGGGAAGGCTGCTGCCTCCTTAGAGTTTGAGGAGCCCCCACATGGGGGCTCTAGGAATGCCAGTGTGCTGGCCTTTCCAACCTGGTGCTCTTCTGCTGGGGGAATGAGGCTGGTCCTCATTCAGGGGTTGGGAACTGAGGTTGTGTCTGCTCTCTCCCACCCCATCTTCTGGCAGAAAACAACTGGACTCTACGCTGTGGACTATCCCTAGTCCACCACCATGTTGAAGCCCTTGGCAGCCTGAGAGCTCCAAGGAACAAGCTGTGACAACCAGAAGCCCTGTCTGGGGGGTGGTCCGCCCGGGGCCTGGAGCCTAAGCCCTGTGTTCCTGGGGCAGTGGGGACTTGGGAAGTGATGAGTGTGTCATGTTGCATGTGTCCTCTGTGAGCCTTCCACACCTGTGCTGGTGCTGGAAAGTTATTTGTGCTCTGCTGACATTTAACACTCCCTCCCCCACTTCCTCCTAGCTCTGTGGGCAGGGGTTGGAAACTTAGCACTTTATATTTATACAGAACATTGAGGATGTGTCAATAAAATATTGTTTTGTTTAAAAAAACAACAGTCCCCCAAGCGTCTGGTCTCATCTGATGCCCAGGAACCTTCTTGGACCTCACCTTTCCTTGTGCCTGCGCGGTTTGGGAAGTGGATGGGCAGAAGGGCTGGTGACCGGAAGGGGCAGGTCTGACCCTCCCGCAGAGGCTGCCCTGCTAGCCCTGGTTCTTCTACCCTGGGCTGGTGTCCTTTCCCAGACAGGGTCCTCGCTCCGGAGCTGAACAGGGTCGTTTCTGAGAGGCTGGCTCCTGTCTGTGACTCAAAGCCAGGCCCAGTGCTGCCCTGATCAGACCCCGCTTCTTTTTCAGAATGTGGAAGGATGTGAATGTGTACCTGAGGGTGTGGTCCTGTGAGGGTGGGTGGTCTTGGCCTGTGCACACATGTGTGTTGTGCGTGGTGTTCCTGTGGGAGCGTGTGTGCACTCCCACACAAGAGGCACTTCCCAGGCCTTGTGGGCCTCTGTCTCCTCACAGCAAGGCCCCGCAGCCTCCCTATTCTTCTCCCACACCCTGGGCGGCAGGGGCTCACAGTGGCCCCTGTTCCAGGCATGTGGCCCCATGTCTGGTACAGGACCTGTCACCAGGGATGGGATTCATTGCTCTGCACACCCACTTAACTAGCACATCTTGGTTGAACTTCCAGTTACGGGCCCAGCATAGGACTAAGGTGTCTGTGGAGACCTGAGACGAGGGCTCCACCCATGCCAGAAGCTAAGGGGTGCATGCCGAGACTGCCGGAAGGGGGTGCTGTGATCTGCCTGAGAGCAGGGGTGCTGACGCCTTTGGAGATGGTTGTGCGGGAGCCAGTCCTGCTTCAGGCTCACTGGGACACTCTCGGCCATTCGGAGTGTCATCCAGACAAGGGTTGCCTCTGAACAGTTTACCTCTACGGCAGAGGTCCCCAGGCCATGGGCAGATCCCTGTTAGGAATTGGGCTGCACAGTAGGAGGTGAGCAGCTGCATCAGTATTACAGCTGCTCCCCATGTGCCCCATCGCTTGCATTACTGCCTGAGTTCCACTTCCTATCAGATCAGCAGCGGCATTAGATTCTCATAGGAGCTTGAACCTGTTGTGAACTGCATTTGAGGGATCTAAGATGCATGCTCCTTATGAAATTAACATAATCTGTCACTGTCTCCCATCACTCCCAGAAGGGACCGTCTAGTTGCAGGAAAACAAGCTCTGGGCTCCCACTGATTCTACATTATGATGAGTTGTATAATTTCGTTATAGATTACAATGTAATAATAGAAATAAAGTACACAATAAATGTAATGCACTTGAATTATCTAGAAACCAGCCCCCTCACCCCTGGTCCATGGAAAAATTGTCTTCCACAAAACTGGTCCCTGGGCTAGGCACGGTGACTCTTACCTGTAATCCCAGCACTTTAGGAGGCCTTGAGTGGGTGGATTACCTGAGGTCACGAGTTCGAGACCAGCCTGACCAACGTGTCAAAACCCTGTCTCTACTAAAAACACAAAAATTAGCCAAGCATGGTGGCGGGTGTCCTGTAATCCCAGCTACTTGGGAGTCTGAGGCAGGGAATTGCTTGAACCCAGGAGGCAGAGGTTAGAGTGAGCCTACATCACACCATTGCACTCTAACCTGGGTGCCATGAGTGAAACTCGGTCTCAAACAAACAAAAGAAAACTGTTTCCTGGTGCCACAAAGGTTGAGAACTGCTGTCTTACGACATTCTGTATGCCTGGGAGGGCATACACCTGGGGCAGTGGTCAACATAGTTTGACAGTACGGCGGCTGGTTTTGCTTAATCTTGCTGTATACAGTTTTCTTGTCTGTAAAATGGAGTTTTGTTGTTAGCCCTACCTCTCAGGTTGTAGACTTACACAAGTCAATTCGTGTATTGCTTGCACATAGTAGGTGGTCAGAAAATGTTAGCTAACTATGGCCCTAGGAGTGAGGTTGATCTGACATGCAGGTGTGCAGGTTCAAGGTGTGCATCTGGACCAGGATGGACACTTAACGACGGCTGGGCCTGGGGTCCTCTTAGCCCTGTGCCTGGAGCCCGGCATAGGTGGGCGCTCACTCTGTGAGGCCGAATGAAGAGTGATCTTTCTTCCCTCTGTTCTCTGAGGGTGGGGTGAGCCACTCCGGTGTAAACTGGGCAGAGCCGGAGCTGCTATCCCGATTTCCTTAGGACTTGAGCGGGTATCTGTTGGGACCAGCTTATACCCTCATGCCCAGCTTGGGGCTCTAAGTCATAGGGGACTTCACACCACACAGCCTCATCTCACCAGCTGGACTGGTGGCCTCTGCCCACCCTACCCTTGGCCCTACCCTATCCCACCCCGCCCAATAGCTTGTCATCCAGCAAACTGTCCTCTTTCTTTCTCTTTCCCTCCTTTTTTTCCTATTAAATTTTTAAACTTTTAATCGTGGTAAAAAATGCAATATAAAATTGATCATCTTTACCATAACCAAGTGTGTAGCAGTAGAAAGTGTATTCACATCGTTGTGTAACAGATGAACCCGAAATATTATACCTATTAAACAATAACTCCCCATCCCCACTCCCCAGTCCCTGGTAAGCTGTGCTCCACTTTCCGACTCTGTGCATTGGGATATTCTAGACACCTCTTGGAGGTAGAATCATGCAGGGTTTGTCTTTTTGTGACTGGTTTGTTTTGCTCAGCAAAATGTCCTCAGACCAACTGCATGTCCTAATAAAGACCCTGTTTCTCTCCCAAAGCAGGGTGATTATTTCTTACCATTATTTTAATTTTTTTTTTTTTTTTTTTGAGATGGAGTCTCACTCTGTTGCCGAGGCTGCAGTGCAGTGGCATGATCTTGGCTCACTGCAACCTCTGCCTCCTGGATTCATGGGATTTCTGACTAATTTTTGTATTTTTAGTAGAGACAGGGTTTCACCATATTGGACAGGCTGGTCTCAAACTCTAGACCTCAAGTGATCTGCCTGCCTCGGCATCCCAAAGTGCTGGGATTAGAGACATGAGCCACCACACCTGGCCTACTTTAATTTTTTTACTGAACACTCATCTTAAGTGGTCAGCCTCGTACTTCTTGGTTTTCTGAGGGGACCTATTCTTTATTTTACTTATTTTTTCTAGCTTTATTGAGCATAATTGACGAATAAAAGTAGCATATGTTTAAGTGTACAATGTGATGTTTTGACATACGCATACCTTGTGAAATGACCACAACAGGCTAATTAGCATATCCATCACGTGCATCCTGACATCTGTCAATACCCTGTCCTGGCAGCAGGGTGTCTGCCTCCAGCACAGTCTCTCTGTGATTCTGATTCCTATCTTTTGAGAAGCTCTGGATTGCTGAGAGGTCTTTATGGACAATAGCTGCTGTTCTTGGCTCTGTGGTTTCCCTTCACTGGGCATGGGTGGCTGTGAGGATGTCCCCAAATGCTGCCCAGTGCTGACATGCTCCACCTCTGGGATTTCAGTCCAAGTGCGCCTTGAGTGACCTGGCTCTGAGGCAGGGGTACGGAGGTGGGAGGATATATGTAAGGAGTTTAAATTTCCAAATCTGTGAAATGGGGATAAATACTGACTGATCATGCCAGCTGCTGTGGGATTAGGGAGGTGGACTTCCTGCGAGGCTCTGGGCATCTGGAGGTTCCACCTTTCCCACATGGCAGGCTTTTTGGGGTGCTAGTTGCACACCGTTCAGTTTGTGAAATTTCCTGGAGCCCTGCGTTTATGATAGTGCGCTTTTCTATCTGTGTATTAAAATAAAAGCTTGTGAAAGTGCAGTGACCTTTCCCTCCTTCCACAGATACACCGGGAGTGCCTCGGGGTCTCAGGTAGCTTTCCCCATGTCTAAGCACAGGCAGGGGTAGGAAAGGGTGTCTTCCTCGCTGGAGGGATAGGTCTATCCCAGGGCTGGGGCCTCAGCTGGGCCTGGAGCAACTTTCTGCGATGTTTCTCTGCCCCCTGGTGGCAGGAAGGAACCTCAGAAGAGCCACACTCCCAAGTGGGCCCCTCAGTCTTACCCACTGCAGTCAAGAAGGGGACTGGGCTGGGGTGGGAACCATAGGTAGGCGTCGCAGGGGCTGCAGGTAGAGGTGGTTGCGGCGGGGCTGCAGGTAGAGGTGGTTGGGGCAGGGCTGCAGGTGGAGCTGATTGGGGCAGGGCTGCAGATAGAGGTGGTTGGGGCAGGGCTGCAGGTAGAGCTGATTGGGGTGGGGCTGCAGGTGGAGATGGTTGGGCAGGGCTGCAGGTGGAGGTGGTTGGGCAGGGCTGCAGGTGGAGGTGGTTGGTGGGAGCTAGGTGGGAGCTGGAGCAGCTGCTATTTTAGAGGGGGTGGTGGTTCTGGTTCTGTAATTAGGTTTATGTGTCCTGCTGAGGCTTAGTCTTGCTTGCTGAAGGGGCGGCAGGGCTCTACCATGGAGGGTGTAGGGGGTCTCTGGCCTTGGGTGTTGGGTCTGCTCTCCTTGGCAGGTAAGCTGGCTGCCTGGCCCTCCTGCTGCTGGCTCCAGCCTGGAGAAAGCTGGGGAGAGGCCAGAAGGTTGTGGCTGGAGCCTGCAGGGATTATAGCTGAGCTCAGTGGCTCAGAGCATGGAGCTCTTCAGGATTGTTCTAGAAGTCAGCTTCTGGAAGCCAAAGGGAGGCCTCCTGAAGGTCTTGGAAGTAGAGGGCCTGCCTGGCAGAAGATAGCAGGTGTTGTGCCCCAGACCTACTTGTCTTGTGGTGGGGGTAGACTGAAAGTCCCCGCTCCAGCCTGGTTAGGCCAGGAGTCATCCAGGCTGAGCCCACTGTCCAAGAGTCTGGGCTGAGAGTCAGAGAGTGGGGTCTGAGGCTGGTCCTGCCTCTGCCATGGGTGTCAGAACCTGAGGTCTGTCCTGCCTCTTTCCTTTCTGTCCCTCCTTTACCTCATAGATGGGACATGTGCCCTTTTGGTCCCACTAAGGGAGGAGCTCCTTCCCTGAGGTCATCTAGACTTTGGCACCAGTTGGGGTTGAGCAAGGAGGCCAGGAAGGCTCCTCAGCTCTGTGCTGGAGCCTACTAGGGGCT